ATATAGCTACTGCAAAGCTGCTGCAGCGGCTAAGAACACCAGTACTACATCAACAGAAAACAGCATAATCCCCACACGATATCAAGACCTGGACTGAAGATATCTTCAATCTATAATCAAATGTACAACCGCTAAAAAATGTACTTTAGTAACATAAGGATTTCTCGAAACAAAACAACCTCCCTAATATCTTATGGGAAAACCTGTTCTTCGTACATTTTCCACAGCCCGCCCACCAACTTTTAAAGGGACTTGCACCAAAACTGCTGAGTAGTTTCCCAAAAATTTATTATTTTATAATGTACAGTTATTTCTGCATTATTTTAAAGCAAGCATTTATGATAGATTAGGAGTCAGTGCCGTTCTTTGACAAACAAGACTGCAATACTTCCATCGTTTAAATATAAATATTTTCTTTCAAAGCTTAAATTCTATGTAAGAATTCTATGTAACAAAACCTTAGGCATTAGACCCTGGATGTAAAGGCTACATAAAACTTAGTATTCACCTGGAAAAGCTTTTGGTCAAACAGATTAGCACATTGGCAGAACTGACTCTGTGCACAGATTCTTTTTTTTAAACTTGCTACTACAGTTGTGGTACCTGTAGAAAGTTTATAAATGCTATTATCCTCGGCAGACTAAGGGTCTGGTCACACGGACATTTAGTGCGGGCTTTGCTGCTGATCCCTCGCGCTTTAAAGTTTCCTGTCCATATAGGCAAACCCGCCTCCCGCACCGAAGCAGGAAGAATCCCGTGGTTTCCGCTCTTTTTATCCGCGTTTTCTGACACCCGTTGGAACAGGTGTTTTCCCGATATCTCGCGCTTTGTATCTGCGGTTTTGGTATCTGGACAGCAACCCGCCATGACCGCGGTTACTTCTTTTGTGTGTGTGTGTTTCCGGTTTATGTTATGCACATGCGCAAACAGGCGCTAGCTTTTATTTTGGCCTTAGGGTCCATGTTTCCAGTCTCCGCATTAAACAATGGTGGTGGCTCTCCGATCGCGGAGGAAAACGGAAACTCACAGTCGGACGCTTGGCGGAGGGAGATCAAGCCGTAATTCGCCCACGCGCATGGGAAGGCAAGCGCATGTGCAGGGTTGTTGTTGTTTTTTTAAACCCCGCGCCGCCATGGGGACGGCGGCGCGGTGTGAACAGCACTTCGCGCGAGTGAAGCGGAAGACAGAGGGACCGTCTGACCACCTAAAAGTGATATAAAATGTCGCAGATTGAAGAACTGTGGGAAAACTACTGCGGTAAGAGGTCCGTGTGACCAGAGCCTAAAATATTGTTTTTGTTAACTTTTTTGTGTAGCAATCACTTCAGTTAAATACAGTGCACACCCGCCAATGGTGTTCCAGGCAATCTCCATTGTGCCCGTCACAACAGAAACAACAACTTCTCAAGGTCACTGGCCATGCAGTTAAATTCTTCTACTTCCTATAGTGTCAAGATAAGGGTATTATCGCTGCGTGTTTGCCAATGAGTATATGTGAAACAAGTTGGGGATATTTACCTATGGGGTGTAATACTGACGTCATGAAGGCAAATATTACACTCATGGAAACCTGACAATAATTCGGCACAAAAGGTAAGAACAGAAAAGGTTAACAGTGTTGTACTCACAAACATGTTATCATTGAACTTGTGGCAAAGTTTTTACTGGCTGCAGCTTCTATTACGTAGCAAAATTCTGTAAGTCCTCAACGCAGGGTAGCTTTTAACAGAAACTGTATTTTATGTAAAATCTGGATTTTATTTCCCAGACACTATGTTTTTATTTCTGTGAAATGCCAATAAAGGAATTGCTGTGTGACACAAACATGTTCGTTACAAAAGACAGTCCTTTATATTTCTCTACGCATGTTCAGTGAAGCTGTAAAATCAGGAAGTAGAAATACTTAGAAAAAAACACCACTGAACAGCAAAGGGAAAGTGTCCATTGCACGAGAAGTTAGATCGAAAGCATACAAACAGCCATGCCACTGTGAGAAGAGCTGATGTAGCCCACCTAATAAGCTGTGCTCTCTCAGACTGCAAAATGAAAACGTTAATGCAGTTACTACAGCCTAAAATCAGTGAAATGTAAGTGTATTACCTACATAAAAAATGAGGGCTTCCGTTATACACGGACAGGCCTCGGTTAACCTTCTGCTGTTCCTACCCTAAAGGCTCATGAGAACCACAAAGCCATTCATCCATGACCCTCACGATAACAACACGCATGCAGCATGGGGCACAGTAAAGGTAAAGGGTCCCTTGCTCGAAAGCCAGTCGAATCCGACTCTAGGGTCGCGGTGCTCATCTCCGTTTCAAAGCCGAAGAGCCAGTGCTGTCCGAAGACGTTTCCGTGGTCATGTGGCCGGCATGACTAAACACCAAGGCACACGGAACGCTGTTTACCTTCCCACCGAAGTGGTACCTATTTATCTACTTGCAATGTCTTGCTTTCGAACTGCTAGGTTGGCAGAAGCTGGAGCCAGAGACGGGAACTCACTCCATCATGCGGCACACTCGGGTCTCAAACTGCTGAACTACTGACCTTCCACAGCCTGCAGTTCAGCGTCTTAACCACTTGAGCCACTGCAGCTCAAGTAGCGTGCCCCATAATCACTGACACCTGTTAACACTCATTCCAATTCATGTATGGCCGTAGGAGACACTAAGGGTAAATGTACACTATTTTCTGCTTTCTAAACACCAATTTTATGAGGATAATTGAAACAAGGTAAATCCCATGTCCTTTCCTGTGTGTGGACCACCCGTTTTTATCCCACCCTGCCTTCTAAGGCGCTTAGGTCACTACATAGCTTTCCCCTTGACCTTCAGAACAACAATTCGCCTTGCTTTTTGTTTGGGCAAGAACAGATAACGCAGTCTAACCTTAGCCTTTCTTAAACAACAGCCCTTTTCAAGGGGGGCAAGAACAAACTCCAAACATTATCACCAGAGGTCTGGAGGCGCAAGCCCCTCTCCCTTTAATAGAGCATGGAAACCTGGCAGCTTTTAGAAGGATTGGATTTATACCCTGCCCTTCACTACCCGAAGGAGTCTCAGAGCGGCCTACAAACTCCTTTCCCCCTCCCCACAACAGACACCCTGTGAGGTAGGTGGGGCTGAGAGAGCTCTGACAGAAACTGCTCTTTTTCAAGAACAGCTTTGACAGAACTATGGTTTGCCCAAGGTCATCCAGCTGCTGCAAGTGGAGGCATGGGGAACCAAACTCAGATTAGAGTCCTGCACACTTAACCACTACACCGAACTGGCTCTTTTGTTTTGTTTTAATAGCAAGAATGCAAATAACATCCCAGTAAAACTCTTTTTTTTAATAACAAAAACTCAGTTTGGTGTAGCGGTCAAGTGCGCGGACTCTAATCTGGGAGAACCGGTTTTGATTCCCCGCTCCTCCACTTGCACCTGGCTGGATGACCTTGGTAGCTCTGATAAGAGCGGTGGTTCTTGAAAAGGAGCAGTTTCTGCCAGAGCTCTCCGGGCCCCACCTACCTCATAGGCAGTGTTCCCTCTAAGGTGAGTTAATGTGAGCTAGCTCACCGTTTTTTTAGCCTCCATGTCACACATTTTTTACTTAGCTCAGGAAGGAGGGCTCTAAAGCAAACTAATTTATGCAGGAGCCCAAACGCTTCCTCACAACGTTAATGCCAGTAGGTCACCAAGTAGAATTTTTGCTCATAAGGAGCAGCAGCTTAGAGGGAACATTACTCACAGGGTGTCTGTTGTGGGGAGGGAACGTAAGGAGTTTGTAAGCCGCTCTGAGAGACCTTTGGGTAGTGAAGGGCCGCTGCCTCCTCCTCCTTTTCTTCTTCTTCTTCTTCTTATTATGAGAGCCAGTTTGGTGTAGTGGTTAAGTGCACAGACTCTAATCTGGGAGAACTGGGTTTGATTCCCCACTCCTCCACATGCAGCTGCTGGTGTGACCTTGGGTCAGTCACAAGCTCTGGCACAGCTGTCCTTGGAAAAGATCAGTTTGTGTCAGAGCTCTCTCAGCCCCACCCACCCCACAGGGTGTTTGTTGTGGGGAGGGGAAGGAGATTGTAAGCCCCCTCTGAGACCCATTTGGGTAGTGAAGGGCGGGGTATAAATCCAATCTCTTCTTCTTCTACCTCACAGGGGGTCTATTGGGGGGAGGGGAAGGGAAAGGAGTTTGTAAGCCGCTCTGAGACACCTTTGGGTAGTGAAGGGCGGGGTATAAATCCAATCTCTTCTTCTTCTTCTACCTCACAGGGTGTCTGTTGTGGGGAGGGGAAGGGAAAGGAGTTCATGAGCCACTCTGAGACTCCTTTGGGTAGTGAAGGGTGGGGTATAAATCCAATCTCTTCTTCTTCTTCTACCTCACAGGGTGCCTGTTGTGGGGAGGGGAAGGGAAAGGAGTTTGTGAGCCTGAGACCCCTTTGGGTAGTGAAGGGCGGGGTATAAATCCAATCTCTTCTTCTTCTACCTCACAGGGTGTCTGTTGTGGGGAGGGGAAGGGAAAGGAGTTCATGAGCCGCTCTGAGACTCCCTTGGGTAGTGAAGGGTGGGGTATAAATCCAATCTCTTCTTCTTCTTCTTTTACCTCACAGGGTGTCTGTTGTGGGGAGGGGAAGGGAAAGGAGTTTGTAAGCCGCTCTGAGACTCCCTTGGGTAGTGAAGGGTGGG